CTGAGTGCAAAATTTTTTGCATTTCCATGGCTTTCACCTTTGATCCCCACCTTCCTTTTCACAAATTTTCCCCTTTAAACATGATCTACACCCATTATTACTACTGCATTTGTTCATGCCACTCAGAAACCTCAAAAGGAGCAACATGCAAACATAAAAATCAAGGAAATCACCAACATTTCAACTTTTCATCAAGAACACCCAGAACCCCATTTTTGAAACATGCAACCCCTTGGAATTCATCCCCACAACTATAGATTTCATAATTTCATCAACTATAATCCAATGTTTCAACCAAAATCCAAGAATGCTAGCTTCTCTTACCTCGATTGAAGCTCCGCACAAGACGAACAAGTTTTCGAGCTACTACAGGGAAGAAAAAGGAAGAAGAGAAATGGAGATGCAACACCAACTCTGGGCTTCAAGCTATCACTTGCACTCCCAATCTCTGCTCCACACTAGCTCAATCTTGAAAAATCAACAATAAAGAGGAACAAAGGGGTTTTAACAACTTGAGAAGTTAGAGTGAATGAGAAAGGAAAATGAGAGTAGGATGTTTATAGATCTCACAATATTAATTTATAAAATATTATCTAACATGTTTAATGTATACATGAATACGTGCCTCTCTATATATATATATAATGTTAAATTGCACAATCAATGAATTGAAAAAATATATCAATATTTAATGTTGGTTTTATCATGTTAAGTTGATTTGCTTAATTCACTCCTAATTTGATAATATTTAATTTGTATATAAATAAATATATATTTTTTATGATTAAATATGATTAAAAAAATATAATAAATACATTTTTTTTAAAATGACTCGTGTTGAAAATAAATAAATACTATTATTTTAAATATATTTTTTATTATGATTTGTTTTCTAAATTTTTGTTAATCAATCTGTCAATTTGTCATTTCATAATCCACCAATCCACCCTTTATCATTTAAAAGTTAGTTGATCAAGCACCTTTAATGGGGACAAATTATGTTATCCAACTCAAATTTTATTTATCTGTCAACTTATTGTCTCACTTTGCCTAAGGCGAGTTGATGGTATGTTGGGACGATAATGTTTTGTCACTCCCATTCAATAATCTAATTTGATGATAATAATTTTTTTTTAAAAAAAATATGAATGTTATGAGCAATGAGACCAAGATTTTGAGAGGTGAAACAAATTAGATTAAATTATTTGTTTTACTCTCAAACAAATAGAAGAACAATATTGAATATATTTTAAAACTTTAATAACTAAACTAAATATTAAAAAATAGAGGACAAAATTGAATAATGTTAATAAAAATTAGGGACTAAAGTAATAATTTAACCAACAAATCGAATATTTACGTTATTGTCATATTCTTTTTAAATACATTTATTATCTTTGAAATTCATTTTAATTTCTAATTTTAAAATTTAGTTTTTGATATTAACAACTTTACATTATTCAAGTTTCTCTAAATGTTAGATATTATTCTAAATAATCATATCTCATACGATACGTATCTTGAAATATTAACGATAATAAGGATTAAAATAAATTTTGTTGAAATTATGAATATTAAAAAATAAAATTTCAAGTATAAAATTAAACGGTTATCCAATCGGTTTAACAAGTCGTTAGATGATTTAGTAATCAAATCAAAAAGTCACTTGTTAAACCAGATAAAATGATCTATATTAATTTTTTTAATATAATTAACGCAATTTAAAATATTTTACATATTAAAAATAAAAATTATTGACATTCTAGATGACAAATATTACATGTTTAAACTTCAAATTTAAGATTATAAGCTATAATAATACAATTTCATTCAAATTTAAAAATATTTTCACTATAAAGAACTCAATATACAAAATAATAATTAAATTAAAATTCCTAACAACAAACTTCATAAACAATTAGGGGGTGTATTGTTGGTTTAGGATTTCGTAAGATTTTAAAAGACTTTTTTTGAGTAAAAAAATTCATTGGTATTCAATCAGAATTTTAAGTCACTTAAAAACAATCCAGTGGTATTCAATTTAGATTTTCAAGATTTTTTAAAGAGTCCATTAAAATCCATTGGTATTCATTTGAGATTTTTTACAACTTAAAAACAATCCATTGGTATTCAAAAATATAAGGATTTTAAAGGATTGTTGTGTGAGAGAGATTTTGAATGACTTTCTAGTGTTATCTATAAATACCAAATTCATAAAACAATCCCATCCAAACCCATCGGATTTTGAAGGATTGTTTGAAGTGACTTTTCAAGAATTTTCAAGTGAGTTTTTCATCTTTTTTTT